GGTCCCACAAGACAGCCTTGTAACTAACAGAGCCAAAACTAAAGAAAGTCTCAACTCAGAGCCTACCTTTACCAGCAGAAAGACAATATTCAATTAGAAGACACAAGCAACATGAGACAGTGACAATCTAACTCCAGTCCTTGTTAACAATGCTACCCAGATAGCAAGCATATAGTGGCTTGATAAAGTCACCACCCCTCTGACTGTATGCCTCAGTTGGTCCACCTTCATACCACCCACATTATTGTCTTGCACGCAAGGTTTCAAACAGATTTTCAATGCACACAGTTTTTATTTTGGAAAATAAACTAAGACAAAACTCAGAGACAAAAAATAATGATTAGGCCTAATGTAAAATGATTTTGTTGAAAATGTTGCTGACACTGCTAGATTAAAGTCATTTACTAAACTAATTTACAAAGAATAACAAAATACTGAAATAAGGGGAAAATAAATAAATTGGACTGTGAGAGGAAAATGAGTGATGAAAAGTGGCATTTTGTCTGACACTACCATCAGCGAGCTGTCTGGAAAACACAGAGCAAAAAGCCAGTGAGCTGCCAGCTTTGCCATCGGTGGGCCAACAGTGGCCCACTGTCCTCTTGCTATCTGGGTAGCCTAGCTGGATAGTCTCCCATTCAATTCAGATACATGTCTTTGCTCATCGACTGCATCTGGGATAAGTGGTAAATCATGTTAATTTGATTTATCATTGAACTATTCTTTTGAAGCTTTAGTACTTGATGCATGAACGAATGTAAATAACTATGTAAATGTTATGTAAATAACTATGAGATGCGTGTAAATGGTTAAAATAATGTAAGATATCTTACATTAAACTAAATGGTTAAACTAGCCAGTTTACATTAGTCTAAATGGTTAAACTAGTCAGCTTATGTTGGCCTAAATGGTTAAACTACTTAGCTTACATTAGCCTAAATGGTTTGCTAGCAAGATAAGTTACTGAAGGAAAACAGAAAAATAAATGTATGCCTGCCAAAAGACACTACAAATCCCTCTGCCTAAAGCTTAATGCTCTCTCTACAACATATACACTTCATTAAAACAAGTTGCAAATGCAGAGTGGAAGTGGAAGCTAACAGCAAACTCTGTGTGATCGAAGAGGCTAAAGTTGCTTCTTAGGAGAAGCAGCAGCTTCTTATTGGAATTTTCTGCTCCACCTTAAATGCTGCTGCAGAGACAATACAGTATTTCTCCTGGAGATGGCACTGATGAGTCTGTTTTCATCATCATTGAAGATCATTTTAAAGGTAAATTTAAGGAAAATCTATTCATTCATGTTGAGGTGAGTTTTAGTGACCCAATGTTTTAACCCTTTAACCCAAAAACAATACAGAGGTTCTGCTTCATGGTCCAAAAGCTGCTAGAAAGAAACTGTCTCAATTAACATTTAATCTTAATAGCCTCTAGTATAGTTGCGTCAGGTACTTCTGTAAAAACAAAAACAAAAACAAACAAAAAAAAACCTTGGTCTCACAACCACTCCCATTCTGTCTTTTGATGCTTTGATGCACACACAACTGATATTACTCGAATAACTTCATATTTGCAATACTGCCAAATTAAGAAATGCCCTGTCTGTACTGGATGTGGAGAGGCTAGTTCACCCCTTTTATTGCCTCAAGGCTGGATTACTGCAATGCCCTGCTGTCTGGATGTTCCAGCAAGAACCTTAACAAACTTTAGTAAGATTAGTCTAAAATGCTGCAGCCAAATTCCTCACAAGAACTAGAAAGTTTCACCATATCAGCTTAGTTTTATCAAACCTACACTGGTTGCCAGTTAAATGCTACTACAAGCTATAAACGACCTCAACCCTTAATACGTGAGTGAACTTATCTTTTATTATGAACCATCATGCCTACTTAGATCACAAGGTGCTGGTTTACTATCAGAATTATTAACCTAGAATTAATGAAGTCAGGGGATGATCATCAGGGGATGAAGCTTTTTCATACAAAGGCCCCCATCTTTGGAATAGCTTTCCAGTCAGTGTTCAGGACTCAGACACAGCCTCAGTCTTTAAGTCTAGGCTAAAAACCTACTTGTTTAGTCAAACCTTTGGTAATTCATTTTTCCTGTTGGATAAAAGGTGCAGATCTGGGGGTTCGTGGTCATAGAGTATTATGGTAAACTGGGAGTGTTGGTGCTGTTGTCCCGCTGCTCTCACACATTCACTCAGGTTTGTTGATGGTGGAGCGGAGGGGCTCTGACATCTCATCTGATGCTGCTGCTTTATCTGCCTTTTGATCACCATGGAGTTTCCTGTTGTCTAATGCTGGCAGAAAGCCTCAACTGCTTGCCACTCACCCTCCTGATGATGCTGCTGCTTGCAAAGACTCAAACTATTTAATTATAGACATTTCTTCCCAAGCAGATCATCAGTGTAGACTTCTAACAGTAGTCATTGATGTTCATGGTTTTCAGAGATTACTTCTAACAGTAGCCACTGGTTTAGACTGCTAAAAGTGACTGATTCTCTACTCTGATAGATCATTTTCTCTTTTTTTGGTTAATCAGATAGGCCTCTTAAAGTAGTTATTGGTTATCATCAATTATTCTTAATGCTTCTGGCCAATGACAGGCCCGTTTTTTTTTTTTCCTTTTCTCGATATTCAATATTTTATATTAATTGTGCAAAATCTTATTCTCTATTCATATTGCTCTTGTTCTTGTTGTGTCAGAGGAGGATGAGTTCCCCTTATTCTTCATTCCTCTCAAGATTTCTTCCTCTTGCTCTTAGGGAGTTTGTCCTTGCCACTGGCGACGCTAATTGGGTCAGTAAAGCTGCTTTGTGACACCACCTGTTGTAAAAAGTGCTATATAAATAAACTTTTACTTGACTCCACACACACCCACTTCTCCCACTTACTTTTTATTGACACTTAAAATGCGATTGATTTTGATATGTGAACTTGTTTACTAATCTCTTTAGGGCCATAGTTATTTTATATTTTTATTGAATGTGTTTCACATTATACAGTGTTTTGTTTCTTTTGCATGAAGTTGACTATATTTATTTGAATCAGTTTAACCCCTATATATTGGTCCTAGTGTTTCAGTTAATGTTTACGTTTAACTCCTCGTCCTGTAGCCACCTCTTCTGATCTGGCCCAGGACAGTAAGAGGATCACACCCCAAACCGAACTCACACAAACTCATGCATTCTCTCGTTACTAGGAGATGCAAATAGACAAACATGGAGTAGCTTGCAGTTTTCTCTGCCGTTTGCGCTGACACAGTCTAGAAGCAGCATACATAGAAGCTACATACATGAGAGACTTTTCCCCATTTTTCTTTGTTTACTTGCTGTATTCCTTTGTACTCTTGGTTTTATTGGCTGTTGCAGGAGGCAGTTTAGATTGAGTTGTTGACCAGTGTACACTTCTAGATTACACTCAAAGCCGGGTGGAAAAAATCAAACATGTTTGTTTTGCTCCAGCCGGTCTGAAACATGATTGGGAGTCTGTGCCCCTCGCACACTACTCGATTATCTCTACAACTGTCGAATCTGACTGACCCAAAAATCTGCAGATTAGGGCCAACTAGCATAGCCCAGACCAGACTACAAATCTGGGCTAAAATTGGGGTAAAAGTTGTGTAGTGGCTTTTGAGAGGCAGCAACCCATGAGAGAGCTGGTTTTCAAACCACTGTCTGCTAACCAAAGTAAAGTTCTAGGGTCCAATAAAACTGACAGTCACTGCGCAGTTAGCCTGCTTGATAAAATGAAATAAATGATGACCTACGCTTTTTATTTAATCATAATTTAACCAGGCTAGTCATTAAGATCAGCTTCTTATTTACAATGGCAGCCTGGCAAAAGCAAAGCCTCTTGAGAGACAAACACTGCTTGCAATAATCACAGCTATCATAACAATACATCAGAGCCATATAAAAGTAGCACTTAAAACATTAAACAAATAGCAAACAAAAACAATACAACAAAACGAAACATTTTCCATTACAAAGCCATACTTGGTATAGACCAGGGCTCAGCAATTGAAATGTTAAGAAGAGCCATTTAGTCCTTTCAACAAAAGTCAAACCAAGTTGGGAACCACAACATTTTATGTCCATTTTACTATCTTGGCGGTAAATATGTATCACTTTGTGCTAATGTACTAGTATAGGCTTAAAAATATAACAAACTAGAATGCAGACTCACTTTGCTCTGCTTAAAGCTGTAGCTCAGCTATAGCCGCTATATGGTCCATTCGTCTCCAAATCATCAATGTTCATTTTAAATCTTTAAAATCTTTCAAATCTCGTTAATAACTAGCTGGGCGATATTGTTGCCGTTGCTGTGGTGATCAGAAGTCTGCGCACTAATCTTCAGGGTGAATTAGCAGATATAGGCTACATTAACTACAGTGTTTAAGACCATTTATTTCTAAAACTGTATTGGAATGATTAGCAGAGCTTAATTTTACTGAAAAGGAGGATTATTGAACTATGCCGTGGAGCAGCAACAGGGCAGTAAAAGAGCCGCATGTGTCTCCGAAGCCATGTGTTGCCGACCCCTGATACAGACTTCCCTCCTTTACTTAGTAAACTTTAGTATTTTTTTTACTGCAAACTCAACCACAGTTTCTCATAATGCTTCCTTATTGGTTCTGTGCTTCTTGAAATCGTGTTTACTGAGGGAATTCACTGCTGTTCTCCACACTTCAAAGGTGACGTTACTATGATCAATCAGCATTCATTTAATATACCAGTGTCATTGCTTTGACCCTGTTTACTGCAGATCTTTCCCTGTTTTATCATCAAGAGCTCACATAAGTACCTGCCTAATACCCTACCCATATGTTTTCAGCTGTTACTGTAACTGCACGAAGTGAAACACACTTATCTTCATGACTCCTCATGAAGTAAATGAAGAAACTGTGGTTTTAGTGTGTGGGAGTGTCAGGGTTCAAAGTTCGTAAATGACATCATATCACACTTCATGCTGTTCAGGGTTCAGCAGCAAAAAAGACACCTTGTACTGGTAAAATGTAAAGATATTCTCTAATAATGGCAGAGTTCAGCAGCCTGCTTTTTGGAGAGAACATCAAACAGTGCTAGGAAGAAAAGCACTGAGGTAATTACTGAAGCTTAACCAACAGAATCAAAATTCTGACTTAATGATTAAAGAAATTTCAGACAGACAGCAGAACATCACTGTGAAACTCAGAGACAGAACTATATTTCAGAGAACTGCTTTTAGATGAAGTTAACATGTAGACTTCACTACCTCTGTGTGTGCTTACAGGATTAGGTGTAATCTGAAGAAAGGAACCATGACCTCCAAAATCAGTTTCTCTGTGGAATAGAAGTGTGTACTGATATTCTATTAGAGAGACAGTAACATTTTTAATAATGATTGCCATGATTATAGAGATAATCAGTTCTACTGTCTGTTTATACTGTACTGTGATTCTACCAATAAATGCAGTTTATTAATAATGAACTGATAGATCAGAGAGAAAGAAAGTAATATTATTGATAATGATTATCATTATTATAGAGGTTACCAGTTCTACTGTCTGTTTAAACTGTATTGTGATTATCAGTAAATACAGATAACAGAGAGCGAGAGGGCAGACGATTATGTAAGACATGGAATGTTACTTCTTTGTTATCTGAACTGAGACCAAAGTGGCACCAATTTCAAACAAGGTTTGCTGTATGTTAAAGAAATCAGCTGACCTTTTGTTCCAGTCTGTGCGAGAATAAAGACCGTGGCTGAGTTTAAAACGATTATGTAGCGCTGAGAATTAACTCAGCTTTTTAAAAAAGACATGTTGTAGCTTTGATAAAGGTGGAATAACTCCATCCTTAATTTCTCCATCCTTGCGTCTTGTCCTCACATCTCTTCCTCGCATCCTCAGAGGGAGAAGCAAAGATGCAAGGAAAGGAAACAAAAGTTAACAATTAAATATATGAAATTCATGGATTACATTAATTGTGGCCTATTTATACTAGTTAAGCCTGACTAGGAATGTCTGAACACAGCTTTCTTGAAGAAATCCTGAATATGTTAAGTCTGCTTTGTAGTATACCCCTGTGATCTATCACATATCAAACCATCAGATCCTTTCAGTGAATTCAGTACAGATATCACTGGAGTCCAGCCTGAAGATGCAGGAGGATTACAGTACACACAGTGACAGAATGTTGTACAAGAACATCCATCAGCTGTACAGGAACTGCTGTGACTCACAAACACTCGCTGATCTCATTCACAAACACACACACTGATCTGACTCACAAACACACACTGATCTGATTCACAAACATGGACTGATCTGATTCGGCAAACACTGATCTGATTTACAAATGCACATTGATCTGATTCACAAACACAATGATCTGACTCAGAATCACACACTTATCTGACGCACAGATCTGATTTACACACTACACACGTATGATTCACAAACACACACACGGATCTGATATTAGGCACTTCAGTCCACCTGAATGTTTTCAGCTATTTCTGTAACTGCACTGAGGGAATCACAGTTATCTTCACGACAGAGTCCTTATGTTGTAAATGTAGAATCTTACTGTGAGGGAGTGTCAGGGTTCAAAGTTCATACATGAAAGATGGGGCAGTGGATGTCATACTGATATAACACATTATCTACATGTTATTCAAGATTCAACAACAAGAGAGAAACTTTTTACAGGTGTAGTGTAAAGATATTCTGTAATTACATCTGAGTGTTTTAACTGAGTCCAGTGGGAGACTGGGCACTCTGGACTAGTTTATTATAGATACAGTGGAGGTAAATCATATATAATGAAATACTGAAAACAGTTGATCACATAAAGGACGGTCACTTTTGGAAGAATCTGCACACTTGCACTTGTGTGTGAAATAGAAGAACAGTGAGTTTTCATTACACCCCAGTGGCCTTTCAGTTGAGTTTCCAGCTTTTACCAAAACAGACTGTTTGGATTTGCTAGTTTCATAAGCAAACCTGTTTGGCCAGAGCTGTCATTGGTCCAGTAGAATATCAGTCTCCTCTTTTCAACCTGTAAACCTTTCAGCACTTCTTCCTGTGGTGGGGAACTAATCCATTCCAAACCGGTTTACAATGAAAGTAAATCAGCACTGTCTGTTTGATTGAAGACATGTCAGACACAGAAAGAGCAGACAATCACTGTGAAACTCAGAGACAGAACTATATTTCAGAGAACTGCTTTAGATGAAGACAACATGTAGATTTCACTGTTTCTGTGTGTGTTTATAGGATTGGGTATAATCTGAAGGAGGAGCCATGACCTCCAAAATGAGTTTCTTTAAGGAACAGGACTCACAAAAAACTGAGAGGTGAGAGAATCATGTAATTGGTGAACAGCCAGTATGTCCTCATCTTTACCAACATGCAGGAATGTTTTTAGATCATGTCTGATATTGGTTGTGTTCTAGATTGGTTCAGGGTAAGAGATCTGACTCACCTGAACCCAGCTGTGTATCTATGGAGAGTGACCAGTCATTGGACAAAATAATACTCTTCAGAGAATATTCTACCAAGCTCAGGGAAGAATTATGTGACACTGAAGAGTTTTACATGAGACAAAACAAACAAGAAAAACAGAAAAATGTTTTACTGAAATGTTTTTCATGCTACATAATTACTTTTGTGTGCAAAACAACAACATATTAGTGCATAAATTAGAGTACTTTAATTCCCAGCTTTCACCTTTAAAAAGCGTGGATTTTAGTATAAAAAAATTTAGACTCAGGTTTTTTTTTTATTTTAGGCCAAGTCTTTTGATCCATTTAGCATGAAATTTACAATGTGAAGGGCAACAGGTACTTTCAGTTGATGTAACAAACAACAAAAACAGGGATACAAGCCTTTTTTTCGACAGCATATATTGTGGCCTCTTCCCTGGGCCACATTCAGAGGCGTGGCCATGCAAAGGGCTGGCTGGTCACCATCTGTGAAGATATTATGGCTTAAGCTGATCTGCTGATGGGCTCATGTATGTGGCTTTTCTGTCCTGTTTCAAATAAAAAGAGCATTCTGAGCAGAAATTATGGGCTCACTTGACTCTTCTTCTGTTCAATGCCACACTGGTGTCCAAAGTGGGATCCTGCCACTGAACTAAAAGAAATCAAGTAGAAGTTTAAAAAACTCCATGGCGTACAATGAAGATGACAAGCTGTAGAAAGAGAAGCCAACTGCGAGAACAAAACAGACAGCATGGTCTTTAAAATAAAAAAAAAACTTTACAATTTTAACCTTTTCTATAGCAGTCACTGCAGTGCTGTCACTCTACAGAACATGGAGAAAAGAACACTTGTTTAGGGGCTTAAATTAAAGATCTAATACTAACCATTCATTTATTACAATTCAGCTGGTGCTCCAACATTACATGTCTAATAAATCCCACACAGTATATGTAACTGAGTTTTAAAATGAATATACCATAATATATGAAAGTATATTTATTATGCTGTTCAGGTTGTTCACAATAGGCTACTGACAATCTTATGTTTTCTGAAAGAGTTCAGAAGGAGACCTCAGATACTACCAGGAGAAACATGGAGATCATGATAAAGGTATGTGTGTCAGTGTGTGTGTGAGAGAGAAAGAGAAAGAGAGAGAGAGAGCAAGAGAGAAAAGAGTTAATGGGGGAAAGTGAGCAACTAATGTCATGCAGTTTAATGTTGTGCAGTTTAACTAGTGTTAATGAGCAGTGATTCTGGGTTCTTCCTAATATGACTCAATTCATATAATTCATAAATTAATTTGGTAACACTTTGCATTAAGGGTCACCAATCAATCATTAATTATATAATAATCAACTGTTAATTCAGTTATTAGTTAACTCTTCATTAAGCATTAACTATTACTTAGTAACTGATTAAGCACTTATCAATTAGTAATTGAGAACACTTAGATGATAAGTTAGTTTGTCGTTAGTTTATGTCCTACTTGCTCATCTGAGTACTAACTGCCGCTTATTACATTGTTAATGAACTAATAAGTATTTTTATTCATATAAAGAAGTAACATGATAACTTACTAGCACTTATGTGTTAATCCCGCTAATTATCTGTTAATTAACTTTCCATCACCTCCATATATATTTAGTTGCTTCACTTTTTTCACATTGGTTCTTGTTCATTCAAGATGCTTATGGTCACACCTGACCATAAGATGAGCGCACATAAATTCATGGATGGTTTTGTTATTCATCACTTTCATCTTTGGCATATCTGTACAAACTAACTCATATCTGGTAGGAGTGCATGTAAATTTGGGCATAAATGCTGGATATGTGGTTAACTAACCAACATCTGAACTGTTCAGCTTCTTTATTAAAAACAAAAGAAGGAAATATTTCTGTTTCTTTGATTCAGTGTTTCTTTTTAACTTTCCAAAATGCAAATACAAAATGCATACACATTTGCACCTTCAAAACTCTACATATGTGCAAATGTATATGCATTTTGTATTTGTATTTGCATTTTGGAAAGTTACAAAAAGTTTGGAAAGTTTTTAATAAAGAAGCTGAACAGTTCCTGATTCTGTTTGGTTTATTGAGTAAAATCATTCAGAATAAACATGTCATTTGAGAAAGTATGTGTGTTTTCCACTTTACTTGAGGGGACACAAAAACAAGTAAAGACCAATTAATGTATCAGTAAGTAGTCATGTCTTAAACATTAGTTCATAATATAATTAATGGAAAAGGTTGTCACTTTACTTGGAGGGACACAAAAGCAGTAATTAATGGCTAAGTAAGAGGAATTTAAGAAGTAATTAATGATTAAGTAAGAGGAATTTAAGAAGCAATGAATGGTTGAGTAAGAGGAATTTAAGAAGTAATGGTCAAAATTTAAAGATCTAATGACCATTAATCATCAAAGTTGCATAAAAAAAGAACATTTTATTGCTTTTTATAAGGTATGAATTGCTCTGCGTCTGATTCATAACAATTTTGTACGATGTGGAAACAAGTGGAGATTTGAGCATAAATGATAAATCAGCTTCAGTGCATGAAACCAGCCTACCAGCACCTCATTTACATATCATTTACATGAAGCACACACTAATTCATGCAGATGTTTCAGTAGCCAGCCAATAAAACGGCAGTGTTTGGCATGAAAGCTAATGGCCGTGCTCGTCGTGGAGTTTGACGTCCAGCAGTGAGTGCAATCCTCCTCTGCTGACCAAACTTAATAGTATTAAAATGACAACAACTGGAAAAAAATTAAATGTGAAATAAAACAAAATACTCAGTGTTGTTAACATAGTAGAGTGATTGTTTAGTGTAACTAATTCCCTAAAATAAATGCTGTATTATTGCAGTGTATGACAACAAAAGCACAGTGTAATATCTCTTTAAATTGAACATGAAATAGTTGCAGCATTTGTTTATATCAGTGTAAAGTAAGTACATCCCATTTTGTACTGGACTGTCATGCACACAAAATAGTATTATTGATATGTTCTATTGTTGTTCTTATTTTTGCAATTACAGATTATGTTGTTAATAGTTTTGGTTAGTTAACCACATATCCAGCATTTATGCCCAAATTTACATGCACTCCTACCAGATATGAGTTAGTTTGTACAGATATGCCAAAGATGAAAGTTTTGAATAACAAAACCGTCCATGAATTTATGTGCACTCATCTTATGGTCAGATGTGACCATGAGCATCTTTAATGAACAAGAACCAATGTGAGAAAAGTGAAGCAACTGAATATATGGAGGTGATGGAAAGTTAATTAACAGATAATTAACGGGATTAACACATAAGTGCTAGTAAGTTATCATGTTACTTCTTTATTTGAATAAAAATACTTATTAGTAATGCTCATTAACAATGTAATAAGCGGCAGTTAGTACACAGATTATGAGCAAGTAGGCCATAAACTAACGACAAACTAACTTATCAAATAAGTGTACTCAATTACTAATTGATAAGTGCTTAATCAGTTACTAAGTAATAGCTAATGCTTAATGAAGAGTTAACTAATAACTAAATAATGGGAAATTAATAGTTGATTATTATATAATTAATGATTGATTGGCGACCCTTAATGTGAAGTGTTACCATTAATTTTTCACAATGACGGGGCCAAAAGTCTTTTTATTTACCATCAAACACTGCAAGGTTTATCTGATGTATAACTTGAAGTTCATAAATTTTACCTTTTGTACAAGTCTGCAAATTATGTATTAATATATAAAAACATGTAGTCACATGTCATAGCCACTCGCAGTGGTAACAGGCCCCTGTTTATGTTACTGTTTTTTCTTAATCAGGAGCTGGAGCACAAAGTCACCTCTCTGGTCAAGAAACAGCTGAGGAGGTTTGTGAAGCTGTTAAATCTGGATTACCCAGCATGCTCTGAGACAGAGGTAGAGGATGAGGAGGGTCAGAGCAGTGTCAGAGAGGGGGCGCTGAAGATCACACTGACTGTCCCGAGGAACATGAACCAGACTGACCTTGCAAACACACTACAGACCAGTAAGACATCAGGGACATGTGATTACATGTGATAGTCAATTAATATAGTTTAAATGCTCATGATAATGTAATAATAGTAATACTCATCACAGAACCATTAGGTGTAATTTTGTGAACAGATTTTTGTGATGTGTTTTGTGTAATGTGTTTCCAGTAATGCTAAAACTAATTAAGTGGGTGTTGTTATTGTTATTGATTCCTTTTTATTAGAACTAGCTCCTTCCTGTCATCAAAAGCTGAAAACAGCACTAAAGGAAAAATTTCAGAAAATTAATGAAGGAGTCTCACAGCATGGAACCTCAACCCTTCTGAATGAGATCTACACAGAGCTCTACATCACAGAAGGAGGGAGTGGAGAGGTCAATAATGAACATGAGGTCAGACAGATTGAAACAGCGTCCAGGAGACCAGCAACTCTAGAGAAACCCATCAAATGCAATGACCTCTTTAAAGACAAACCTATCAGAACTGTGCTGACTAAAGGAGTTGCTGGAATTGGAAAAACAGTGTCTGTGCAGAAGTTCGTTTTGGACTGGGCTGAAGAAAAAGCAAATCAGGACGTCCTTTTCATATTTCCACTTCCTTTTAGGGAGCTGAATTTAATAAAGGAGAAAAAGCTTAGTCTGTTGGATCTTCTGCACAATTTTTTTACAGATGCAAAGGAATTACAACCAACAGACTATGATAACCGCAATGTCATGTTCATCTTTGATGGTCTGGATGAGTATTGCCTTCCTCTAGATTTCCAGAACAATGAGACATTATTTGATGTAAGACAGTCAGCCTCAGTGGATGTGCTGCTGACAAACCTCATCAAGGGGAATCTGCTTCCTTCTGCTCTCCTCTGGATAACTACTCGACCAGCAGCAGCCAATCAGATCCCTCCTGAGAGTATTGACTTGGTAACAGAGGTACGAGGGTTCAGTGACCCTCAGAAAGAGGAATACTACAGGAAGAAAATCAGTGACCAGAGCCTTGCTGAAAGAATCATTGCACATATGAAGTTCTCAAGAAGCCTCTACATCATGTGCCACATCCCAGTCTTCTGTTGGATTACAGCCACTGTTTTAGAGAGAGTGTTGGGTGAAGCAGAGAGTGGAGAGATCCCCAAGACTCTGACTCAAATGTTCACACACTTCCTGATTGTTCAGATCAAATACAGCAACCAGAAGTACCAGAGAAAAAGTGACATTGATCACGACCACGCTAGAAAGATTATTCTAGCACTGGGAAAACTGGCTTTCCATCAGCTGGAAAAAGGCAATCTGATCTTCTATGAGGAAGACCTGAGAGAGTGTGGCATTGATGTCAGAGAAATGTCAGTGTACTCAGGAGTTTGCACCCAGATCTTCAGAGAGGAGTCTAAGCTGCACCTGGGGAAGGTGTTCAGCTTTGTGCACCTGAGCGTTCAGGAGTTTCTGTCTGCTTTATATGCACTTATTTCCCTCATCTCCAAAAACAGAAATGTTCTGCTAACAGGATTTTCTGGTTTCTTCAGAAAGTCAGCAATGTCAGACTTCCTCAGGTCTGCAGTGGACAAGGCCTTACAGAGTGAGAATGGACACCTGGACCTTTTCCTCCGCTTCCTTCTGGGACTCTCACTGGAATCTAATCAGATTCTCTTAAGAGGTCTACTGACACAGACAGGAAGCAGCTACAGCAAAGAGGATACAGTCCAGTACATCAAGAACAAGATCAGGAAGAATCTCCCTGCAGAGAAAACAATCAATCTGTTCCACTGTTTGAATGAACTGAATGATAATTCTCTGGTGCAGGAAGTCCAATCATACCCGAACAGAGGAGGTTCCAGTCATCTCAGTGGAGCTAAACTCTCTCCTGCTCATTGGTCAGCTGTGGCATATATGATGCTGAATTCAGAAGAGGAGTTGGATGAAATTGACTTGAGGAAATATGATCCATCAGAGAAATGTCTTCTGAGGCTGCTGCCAGTGGTCAAAGCATCCAGAAAAGCTGTGTAAGTATTTTCATTCACAGATTTTTACTGTACTGTTTTAAATATACATTTTAATGCATTGTAAATGATTAATGCATTCTACTTTTTGATGTATTGATGATTTCCCTCTCATTACATGACATCTTTCTGTTGCTTTGTGATTTATTAAGTACATTGCAAGCATAAATTTTAATTTGTTTCTGTAACTAAATAACAAAAATCTTGTTAACTAAAGAAAAATTAAGAAGATGAAGTAGATGTAATGTGATTTTTTAGTACTGTTGTTGTCTCTTGTAAATTTATGAGTACTGTGAGTAAAACCTCCTATGGCACAAGTATTTTTGCGGTAGTAGGTTAACATGCCAGGCTATAGCAGTATGACAGCATAAGCATGTGATTTAAAAAAATAGCACATTTGCTCTATGCAAGTTTACTGTCACAGCTTTACTTGAGTTTTGCACTAGCACTGGGGGAACAATGCAGCACTCTCTCCTGTATTGCTCAAGCCTATAAACCTCTTTCTATCATGTTGTAATCATTGTAACTCTTTACCTGTTTGTGTTTCCTTACCTAGTTCTTCCATTATCCCTGTTGTTTTGTCTACCTGCTGATTGTTCACAGAGTTGGATAGTAATGGAATACAACAGTGTTACATAATCAGGATACAAAAAAGTATCTGTAATCCATTACAGTAAAAAAAACTAATGAGATTACAGAGAGATTCTAAAAATGAGATTACCAGCGGGATTACAATCAAACCACATACACACTCATTACCTTTTGTATAAATTCACAGTTTTTCATAATAAATATATTGCATGAATTGTGTAGATTTTAAGACTTTTTTTAACTTGGGGAAGAAGAAAAGGGGAGCAACAAAAGAGATTAAAATAATTTACTTCTGGATCTGATTACTTTGCTGTTAATGTTGTTAATCTGGCGATGTGTAAAAGCAGACATAAAAGGCTGGTTCAGGTATCTTCAGGAAAATGCTGCAGATATCAGTTCTACAACAAATTATTTCATTCTGTTTTGTTGTTCCATGAAATTCTGCAGTTTGACAAGTTATATATTTAGCTTTTGTGAATGTTAACTTGCCAGGTTTTAATGCCGACGTGAGCTAACATTAACAAACAGCTCTGTAACGTCAAAAGAGAGTGTTTTGTGCAAAGTTACTTTCATTTTCCATATTTGTTTTCATATTATTTCTTCCTTCAGTAGTTTTGAATATTATTGTGTGTAAATGATCATTATTTCTAACTACGACAATCAGTTTTCTCTTTTTTATGTGAAATTAATGCCTTTTTAAACTCATGGGTCAAGTTGATCTCTTTGAACTGAAGCCAGTGAGAGCTAATTAAGGAGCGTCTACAAATTACTATCATCAAAGTCCAATCACAGTGCACCAATATGAAGCCTTATGAGCCAGTACAGCCTTTCAGCAGAGAGAACACAAATATTGGCTAATTAGTTTTTAGAATGGCATCTATTTGTAATTACTGTTGATGAGGGACCTCAAAATAACTTTTTTGCCTGAATGATCTTTTAACTTTAGTATGATAAGCAACAGATTTTTAACAAATAAGGCAATCACAGAAGTATAGTTTTAAACTATATTGCATTTGCATGTTGAACTCGATGAACTCAATCATTCTTCAGCAGTTACTTGTTTCCCTGAGTTCCCTTTTAGTCTTCTTTCATTTTCCACTCAGTTTTTTTTCTCCTGAGGAGCTCTGCCTTGATCTCTGAACTTCTCACCTTTTTTATTGCTCACAAGTGTACAAATGCAAAAATTGTCATCTTTAAGTTTAGAATATTTCTGTATATTTCTCCTCTCAGATTTTGCCATTTTGCTAAATTTGTTTGAGTCACCTATAATCTGTCATTCTGCTTTGTAAAATAGTGCAGTTTTTGGGTTTATCTCATCTTTATTTAACTATGCAAATTGAAATTAATCCAAAAGCGGTCAGATTACTTTTCTTTAATATAGTATTCCTCTGGATTAGGCTACAATTATATTTTTTAGCAGATAATCAGTAATTAGTAACATAATACATTTTTAAAGTAACCCTCTCAACCCTGATTGTTCATCATTATAGCCATTTCTTTAGTTATAGCTCTGTCAATAATATATTACATACATTCAGATACTTTGATGATGTGCCACCAGAGTCCACACTGACTCATTGTTTTAGAATTTAAGTAAGAGTTATCTTTTTCATCAAAAGGCATGGCAGTGTGCTAGCAACAGTTAGCTAGATTTATAGTTTATATCAGCACCATAAGAGTGCTTCTCCTAGAACAAAAGTTATGTCAATTTTCAAAGCTGTAAATCTTTTGTACCTAAATATAAAGACAGTTTCCTTCCCATTGCGGAGGGGCATCTTGAGACAAAGAGGGAATTCTGGGAACATCGTAATGTAATCTAAAAGAAGACATGCATGATATGCAGGCACATGACACTGGGCTAGCAAACTTGTTTTTTTAGGTCTTTGTAGCAATAAAACATTTTGCAAACATGGTATGGATAAATACGCTGATATTACGCAAACAACAATGCAGCAAGTAATTGCAAGGTTGTGGGTCAGCAAACTGTCACCGTAATTGCTGTTGCAAAGCTAACCAGTTGCTATCACAAACTATGCTGGTTCTATGAAACAGCAAAAATAAGATGAGGGCAAACTCTTCATCCCTTTTTCTGCTTTTCAGCTCTCAGTGAGGCTGAACTCAGCTTTTTTCACTAGCTTCTTGCTCAAATTTTCCTGTTCCAGCTTAAATGGTGCAGCAGTTACATTCTGCAGCTTAGCATGTGGAATTGAAGTTTAAAATTGACCTTTCTTATCTTGTTAGTTCATGTCCCTGGTCATATTTAAGGTGATTTAGTGTATATGTAACATATATATTTATATATAGTTCTTATATCTAATAGTTTGTTAATGTTATATAGCTATATAATAGTTGCATATGTATTCATAAATGGTATCACTGGAATCAAAATTATTAACCTATAATTTAGTCACATAAGAATAACCAGTCATTGATACTCCTAATTCATAAATTATAAAACTTGGATTAAATATGCATGAAACAATAATGATTGAGTGTCCTGTTTTAAATGACTTACTTTGTGATCTACAACCTTTTTCTATAATGCTTAGTTAATATTTATGAAGTGGATTATGTATATTATTTGAATATTAATAAAAATTCACTGGACCCATGTTATAAAGTTCCTCTATATAATGTATTTATGAACATGTCAAAGTACATATTGCATTGAAATACAAAAGTGAAAAGTATTTACAATGCTCTGGTTATTATTCAGTAAAAGTATAGTAAATAGTAAGTCAAGTAAAGTCAATTGGTAGCCTTTTTAACTAATATAATTATTAACATTCACTAACAAACTATTACATAATGTTGAAGTTTCTATTTATATTCAACTGTTATTATAAACTGTTAAGAAATGCATACCTTAAAAACTGTTAGAAAATGCATAAATGCATGGCCCATTCTGACATACAAGAGAACCTATATCAGAGCCAAGCCAGGTATGTTTAATGTATTAGGTATCTGCTATTTTAAAGGAATAGTTACTTACCTCAACATAGTCCATCATCCAAGGTATGTTTGGACATTTGTTTCATTTATTATATTTTACTGTATATTTTAGATGCACACATAAATGATTTTTATTTTTCAAAATTACTGCACACAATACGTTTTTAGGTTAAACTAAACATTGTTTGCAGTTGTTATTAAAACATATTATTCAGGGGGGCACGTGACCTTCTAACGGATGGCTGCTTAGATCTGGACGCCGTTCCCACCGTCGGAAATATATCATTTTATTCCAGGGACAGACTGTTGTTTTTTATTTTATTCAACGCCTAAAGTGTTGAAGACATGTCTAAATCGCAAGAAAGTCGAGATTTTCCGCTCTTTAATGCCTCACGGCCTCAACGCACCAGCACTGCTAAGAAGAAGAGCCTCGACGAACATGGCGACTCAGTGCTAACCGAAATGCGAGAAATTAGCTCTCGACTTGGATTAATCGACTCTCGGCTGGACAGCATCGACACGCGCCTCAATACCATCGGTAGCTCCATATCCACACTGCAGGAATCGCTGGTCACTTTAACAGAGAGAGTTTCCTCTAATGAAGCCCGCCTGTCTGAAGCCGAGAACAGGATCTCCACGCTGGACGACTCCGCACATACTCAGCAGACCGCGATAGCTAAGTTGAAAGGAGAGCTAGCGCAATTGCTAACAAAAGTTGATGACCTGGAAAATCAGAGCCGCCGCAAAAATCTGAGAATAATCGGTCTCCCTGAGAAAGCTGAGGGTTCCGATTTGGCAAGGTTTCTAAGAGATATGCTCCCTGTTTGGCTGGAGCTTCCCGCCGAACTGAGCTTGGAGATCGAACGGGCGCACAGAACACCTACTGTGCTCTCAAATTCGAAGACGACGCCACGGAACATTACGGTCCGGTTCTTGCGCTACACCGACAAGGAGATGGTGCTTCGAGCTGCCCAGGTGAAACGGCACGTCCTGCATAACAATAGCACCATTCATATTTTCCAAGATTTCTCCGCAGAGGTAATGAGGAGTCGCTGGGAGTTCGAAGCGGTGAAAAATACTCTTGTGGCTAAGCACATGTACCGGGGCTTTGCTTACCCCGCAAAGCTGCGGTGTCTTCACAAAGGGAAAATACATCTGTTTTCGACACCGGCTGCAGCTCAGGATTTCTTGAAAACTCTTGAGGCCACACATTCACAGGATTTAGCGGAAAAAACTCTTGAATGACTATGACTTCGCAAGTCACTGGGGTGAATAGTTGACAGGCGCCATTCTCCGGGTTCGAGGCTCTGTTTTATGGAATGCATACAGTTGATGCAAATCACGTTTGTCTCGGCCCAGTTGTGATGCGGAACTCGTTCTAATTATGGCATTCACTATAACAAGTAGTATTTTTTTTTCTTTTTTTTTAATTATGTATGTATTTTTATCTTCTTTTCCTCTAGTGGTGATTGGCGTCATGTCTGTCATTTTTGTTTTTGCCGATGGTTGGGGCTGTCTCGGTTGCTTTGCTGCCGTTCTCTGGGCGTTTCATGTTGTTCCCCCTGATCATGCCAATAGGGCACTATGCTTCATTTGTAGTTTTGTTACCCTGTCGTTTGGGGATGGGGTTGGGAGGGTGGATATGGGTTTTACTGGGTCGTTCTATAGTTGTTAGATTACAAAAGGCACTCAATGTTCAGTCTCTCACATGGGCCACACATATAGTCAAGACATACATCCTTTTTCTGGTAAGATATGGATAGTCTATATAAATGTACTACATGGAACGTAAAGGGTTTGGGCCACGCAGTTAAGCGGAAAAAAATTTTAACCTTTTTGAAAAAAGAGAAAACTTCTATAGCAATTCTCCAGGAGACGCACCTTTCCGATAAAGAGCATTTAAAATTAAAAAGAGATTGGGTTGGGCAGGTTTTCTTCTCCTCTTACTCCTCAATGCCACACAGAAGAGGTACTGCAATCTTAATTAGTAAGCATCTACCGTTTATATGTGAATCTCAAATTAATGACCCTGAAGGAAGATTTGTTTTAATTTCAGGTATACTGTTGGGTCAACATGTTACCATACTTAGTGTCTATGCCCCCAATGAGGATTCCCCCAAATTTATGTTGGACATAATATTATCTTTTAATCAACATTGTAAAGGGATGGGACTCTTGGCAGGTGACTTTAACTGCACATTGGACCATGTAATGGATAGATCTTCACCCAGCACATTTTCTAATTCTAGATCTTCATCAGTTTTAAAAGACATGTGTAAGAATACTGATCTAGTTGATATCTGGCGAGAACTAAACCCATCGACTAAAAATTACACTTTTTATTCTAACCCACATGCTTCTTATTCCAGAATCGACTATATCTTTATCCCAAGTAGCTTTGTCCACACAGTCCAGTCCTGCCAGATTGGTTCAATTGTCTTATCAGATCATGCCCCAGTTAGTGTACATGTTAATTTTGGCACTCCTGTATGTAAAAGCAGACTCTGGAGATTTAACTGTTCCCTTCTATCAGATTCTGCATTCTGTGACCTAGTGCGTTACTGGATCAAAGAACATTGGGAATTTAACAAGGACTGTAATGTCTCACCATTTATGCGATGGGAAGCTTTGAAGGCCACAATCCGTGGGCATATTATATCTTACACCTCATCATGTCAAAAAATGAAAATACAAAATCGGATGTATTTAGAAAAAGAAGTAGCATATCATGAGCAGTTGCACAAATCAAATCCTAACAAATCTAACTGGGCTTCTTTATGTAGTGCCAGAGCTAAACTTAATCTAGAATATACAAGTCATATTAACAAATTACTATTCCTTTCTAAACAAAAGTATTATGAATATGGGAACAAACCTAGTAGGTTATTGGCTTATCAGATTAAAAAAGAACATTCAGAGCGATTAATAAAATCTGTGAGGACATTAACGGGTTTGCATACATACGATCCAAAGTTGATCAATACAACCTTTAAAACTTACTATGAATCCTTATATAAATCTCAAAATAAAGTTTTAGAATCTGATATTACTGCATATTTAGATAATATACCACTTCCGGTGGTCTCAGACAATGACAGATGCAGTCTTAATGCCCCTTTCTCCCCCGAAGAAATTTTTGGTGCCGTCCAGTCAATGCCTTCACGGAAAACACCGGGACTGGATGGTTACCCTGCTGAATTTTATAGAACATTTTGGCCTGAACTTCAACCTATATTGATGCCAGTTATCATGGATTTGTGTACCCAAACTACCATGCCTGAAACCTGGAAAACCGCCTCAATAAGCTTAATACTTAAGAAAGACAAAGACCCAGAAGACTGCGCCTCTTACAGACCAATCAGCTTAATAAATGCAGATTGTAAAATCTTTGCTAAAGCTCTGGCACGACGATTAGAGGTGATCTTACCTAAACTCATTAACCCAGATCAAACTGGATTTATAAGGATGCGATATGGTTCTGATAATATACGTAGACTGTTGAATATTATTGACTTTATTAGAAAAAGTAATGATCCCGCCTTTATTGTTTCTCTCGACGCAGAGAAAGTTTTTGATAGGATCGAATGGCCATTCTTGTTCGCTGTCCTTAAAAAATTTAATTTAGGTCCTACTTTTATTCATTTAGTTAAACTGCTATATGCCGATCCGTACGCTACAGTCAATACAAATGGGTTGCTCTCTGAAAAGTTTCAGATAAGTCGAGGAACAAGACAAGGCTGCCCTCTCTCTGCATTGCTTTTTTCCATGGTGATTGAGCCACTGGCAGAAACAATTAGATGTTACCAGGACATTTCAGGTATTAGAGCAGGAGGAGCAGACCATCGAATCTCACTGTATGCGGATGACATTTTGTTGTATATGGCCCACCCAGAAAAATCTATTCCATCTATAATGAAGTGTATTTCAGAATACAGTAAATTTTCTGGTTATAAGATCAATTTTTCAAAATCATTAGCTTTACCTTTAAATATATCCCTTAACACACCTTGGGTAGTTGCATCCCCCTTTCAATTAGCGTTAGAGGGTTTTAAATATTTGGGTGTTCATATCACCCCAGACCTTAATAACCTTATTGACAAAAATTACCTTCCACTTATTAATAATATAAAACATGATCTTACATTATGGAACTTTCTCCCTATTTCCTTATTTGGCAGGGTAAACATAATAAGAATGAATATCCTCCCTCGCTTACTCTATTTATTTCAGTCAATCCCTTGCCATTTATCCACAATTTTCTTCAAGGATCTAGAGAAAAGTTTCTCAAAATTTATATGGAATAATAAAAGGCCAAGACTTAAATTTTCTAGATTAATAAGAGCGAAGGAGGAAGGTGGTGCTTGTGTGCCTAATATGCAGTTGTATTATTGGTCATCTCAAATAAAGCATATGATCAGCTGGTGTACAAATAGGTTGGATTCTCGCTGGGTCTCTATGGAAACAGGGGCATGTAGCCCTATTCCTCTTGATTGCTTACCGTTTATTAATGATGCTGCAAAGGTGAGGTGTGTCTCTGAGAATTTTATTTTACACAATACCCTTATGGCCTGGACAGATGTTAAGAAATATCTTAAGATTCCTCATTGTCTTTCACTACTGTCCCCTCTGGCCCACAACCCAGATTTACCTTCTCAGCTGAGTAACTCTGGACTCTCAGCTTGGCTTAACAGAGGGATCAAAAACATTTCTTATATGTTTTCTGGTAGTTTGCTCAAAGCGTTTACACAATTGCAAGAAGAATATGAGTTACCTAGGTCAGATTTTTTCAAATATCTTCAGATTCATCACCTGATCACCTCAGCCATTAAGGATGGGAGATTTAGAAAGGAATTAACCGATCTTGAAGTGTTGCTAGCTAAGAAGGACCAGACTAGAGGATTGATTTCACTAATTCATGGCATTTTGCTAAAGAGTGTTAAACCATCGTCAGACACTCTGAGGGGAATTTGGGAAAGGGACTTAGACCAACCTATCTCAGAAGAGGACTGGTGCAATATTTGTAAAGGTCTGTTTCCCAGGTGTACCTCATCTGGTGTTCACGAGCTTAACTTTAAATTCATGAATAGGATATACTTTACACCTGTTCGCCTACAGAAGATGTTTCCAGACAGAACTAATTTGTGTTTTAAATGTAAAACTGAAAAAGGAACGTTTTTTCATGCCTTTTGGCAGTGTAAAAAAATTGGCATTTTCTGGGATAGAGTACACATCACGGTAGAAAATATCCTTCAGACACAATTTCAGAAATCCCCTGCCCTGTATCTTTTGGGAATAGGAGCAGAACATATTTTTGATACTGATGGCAAATTTTTGTTTCTAATGTTTTCATTTCTGGCAAAAAAATGTATCCTAATTCGATGGGCCAGCCCCTCTTCACCATCTATTGAGCAGTGGCTTTCCCAAGCTGCAACTCTGCTTCCCCTGGAAAAACTGACCTACGATCTACGTCACCAGACGGACAAATTCTGGAAACTTTGGGTCCCACTGTGGACTTACATAGAAAATCTTTCTTAAAATCCTAGGTATGTTGGCCTGCTGTGTGAGATTTAAATGTATAATTGTTAATACTGAATAGAGTGCAATAAACATATTATTCAAAGTTCAGATGCTGTTCTTACACTAAGTGCTCCGCACATATTACATCAATAACCCATCAGCAACATGTTAATTACTTGTATTCGTAAAGTAACTTTGAGTGTGAGGAAAAAAATCAGGTTACAAACATCCTGTGAACTTTCTATGGAGAATGATGTTACTCAGTTCTAATTCTCTTCATTTTACTGTACCATGTGCTGTATTTACTCTGTCTATACAGACTACCCAGCTGTAATCTCACTACAACATCTTGTGAAAAACTGGCGTCAGCTCTACGATCAGTAAACTCCTCCCTGACAGAGTTGGACCTCAGTAATAATGACCTGCAGGATTCAGGAGTGGAGCTGCTCTGTGCTGGACTGGAGAGTTCCCACTGTAAACTAGAGATACTCAGGTGAGCATTACACATCTTTAATAAAGATCGCTAATAAAAATTATAAAACAGTTAGTTCCGGCCACGCAAGCTGATTAGTTGAGAGGTGTTCTAACTGTGCTGATATTTCACCATAACAACAGGTTTTTCACAAACACTGTATCACTCCGCTGAGATGCCATTGCTAAGCAATGACTCTGATAGGAGACGCTCAAGCCATTTGAACGTTTTTACTTCTTACTTTGAGCACAAACAGAAAATGGATACTTTTAAGATCACATTTGACCTACAGCTGATTTGGTCAGACTCTGAAGATGAGACTACACAAAATTCCCAAACTGTTATTACCGCTGAGCAAGCTTTTAAGTCAGCACCTGAAACATGTAGTCTCATCTTCAGAGTCTGACCAAATTGGACTGAGCCATAAAACTATGGCAATAAAAACAAAAAAGCTGCTCAGTGGTAATGACAGTTTGAGAATTTAGTGTAAGGAGCTGGAGAACGAACTGCCGGCTGTGCAGCGAGTGAGCAGAGCTCGTTACTGTGACGTAGCAACAAGCCGCTTGTTGCAGCCTGCGACCAAATCACAGCCATGATGTTATTTCGCACACTCCCGCTCGTGTTCTATTGCTTAAATAAGATATTGTCACACCTTCCGCTGGCGTAGCAGAGACTAACACTCTTCACTCCGTTCAGGACTCCAACTCCCAGAATCCTCTGGGGAGTCACATGACCACAAACTCTCAGCAATCCACCTATCCATGCTCTGGCTTACCTGATTATTGATTGTTGACACCTGTTGTTGAACTATATATACATATATACTGTTGCTTCTTTGCAAAGTATTGTTCAGTCACCCTGTTCATTATTGAGCCTTTGTTATTGTGTTTGACTTCCCAGTTTGTGTTTTTGCTTGTTCTCTCATTTACAAATTTAGCCTGAACCCCTTTGGACTTCCGTGTATCCGACCTTTTGCCATTGTTCTCCTGTTTTTGGACTTAGTCTTGCCCTTATTGTTTCTTATCCCTGTGTATTGACCTTTGCCTGTTCCGTACCCCAATTCTGGATTTGCCCTCATTGAACATTTTCTATCTCAGCCTGCTCTGTGCTCATCTGACTATTCCCAAAGCCGTGAAAAATGTTATCTTTTATATTTATAATTATGAAATGGGAACATACATTCATTGTGATCTTTGGATAAAATGTGACATTTTAAATAATAAATATGTTTTTCACATGAATCATGTAGATTTGGAGATTTTCTGGTTTGGGGAGTGGTACTGCTCCCAGCAGACAGAATTTGGTAGCACTTTACCAATAAAATTATGAAGAACTCTTATTGATCACAAATAAAATGTTATTTTAATAGTTGCAAAATAATCAATTAGTAACTATTACTGTAAAGTGAGTAAAGTCTTTGTTTGTTTACATTCTAAGAGATAAGTTGTCCAGTTTTATAGCACAATCAAGGTGTCAGCCAAATTCTTTTAAATCATTATAGGGTTTTATAATATTAGGATTATGATCCAAAAACAATGAAGTAGATTTGGCTTAAACTATGTGGTATTGGTGCTGTAAAATACTAATTTGTTTGTTTTTGCTTTTTTTCTTACCTGTTATATCTTTAAATTATCAGGTGCAGTATGATATACCGACATGGTTAAAGTCTGTATTACAGTGAAACTAAATGTTTTACTTTAATTTTTAGTTGGCAACTTTAATGTTAGCTGCCATTCATCTAAATTTGTTCATTTGAATGGTGGTTTGTAATTTTTTCCATATCTTTTTATCTATAGCTTCACTTTGCTATGCTGACCAGAGAAAAACATATGTGTTTTGAGGTCTTAGTTCTTTTCTCAATTTCTTCCTAATCATATTTCCTGGAGATCAGAATTAGAATGAGATTACTGACATATTGTTAAATGTGAAGCTGTTGAGTCAGTTGTTTGTGTGTTTGTTTTATTGTGTTTGATAACAGAGTGTTGATGTATATTTCAGAGAATTTGCTGTTTGTACTGAACAGCTACTAGGATTTGCTGATGTCAGTGCCACTTGTCTCTCTTTTTCCTTCCTTTCTGCAGATTGTCTGGTTGTATGGTTACAGAGGAAGGCTGTTCTTCTTTGGCTTCAGCTCTGAAATCAAATCCCTCCCATCTGAGAGAACTGGATCTCACCTATAATCACCCAGGAGTGTTTGGAGTAAAGCTGCTCTCAGATTTACTGAAGGATCCAAACTACAGACTGGAGAAACTACAGTGAGTTACTGACCTACTGTCTTTATACTGACTGACTGTAATTATACATATTATACATATTATACACATTACTGCCTGTAATGTTTTACTGCAGATGTGTTTGTCTTTATGGCAACTTGGCAAATTGTTATTCTGAACATGACTGTAACTAGCATGAGAACACTGAGGTCCAGAGCTTGGTAGTTTTAGAAGGATTTTATGATTTTCAATGTGGAATCAATGGTGAGACTTTATCAGCTGTGACTTGTTCTCAGCTGACCTCAGAACAGCTGAAGTTTGGTCACAGACTTAGCTACCTACTGTGTTTATCTCTGTATGAGACACTAATGCTACCCAGAGTGACTCTGACTTCTTGAGATGTTCAGGTGGGCAGCAAACACAGTGTAGACTAACATACAAGATCAATATGATATAAATGTAAGATTTTATTATTATTCATTAACATATATTCTTGTAAAATGCAAACTTCATAATTTTGCTAATTCCAGTAGTTGCTCAATTTACACTACGCCCCCTAGTTGGCTGTGTTAGCAATCAAATTAGTGTTAGTGTTATTTCAAAGTTGTTTTGTATGTCCTCTTCACAACACACTACAACCAGTATGTGAAAGTTCACTGTTAACTTGTATATTGATGGCAGGGTATCATGTAGCATAAATAAGAAATCTGCAGGTAAATAATACTGTATTATGTCTGGTTAACTGTGTGAGCAGTATTTTTAAGGTACGCTTTTACAATAATCAGTGAGGACTGAGAAACAAGTGAGTCAAAGTGACAAGCAGAGAGAGTGAGATAGTATGGATTGGCATATGTAATTTTAGCAGAAAATAAATGAAAAATAAAATTTAACAGGCTAAATGGAGAATTAATTTAGGGAACAGACATCAGTTCATAAATGAATGGAGGAAAGAGAAATGACAAAATGGCAGGAAAAGGTACATAACAATTATTGATGTTTGAAGAGCAATGAATTGCTAAAATCTGCAAAATGGATCTCACTACTTTTATTTATTGTAGTAACGGCCCTGATTCTAAAGTTTGGTCTGAAGTCTTAGTTTAGTTTCATTCTAATTAAATAACAAATTGTAACTGACAGAAGAAGTAAACACAGTAGAAAGTGACAAACTGCATGTTCATTGTGTTATGACCTACAGTCTAAATTTTTTCTTTTACCGCTTGACTCTAGACCGGGTTGCAACACCCTGACAAAACACATCTTAAATACTTAAGATCTCTATTTACAGAATGACTGAACTGAGCTGAAATATTAACTGAAGTCACTGTTAAAAGTGGAACACAGCAGAAGTTAATGACAAAGTGTTTTTTCCTTGAGGTTTCAACAATAATAAAAATAAATAATGATCTAAATTATTATTTTACTTTGCATTATTTGATAGTATCATGTTCAGGTCAATTTGAAATCAAAATTGACCTTTTTTACCTGGTTAGTTTGTGCCCTTGGTCACGTTACTCAAAAGACAAAATTCTTGCTTCTCCATAATCTTTGATTAAAGTGTAGTGCCACCTCTAAATGCCTTCTGATGTTTGGTTGTGCCACTGTCTTCCAGTGGGCAGAAAAATTAGACTAATCAGTAATATCTCAGCATGTTTTCCTCCCTACCACCCTGCTCAATAATTGAGCAAGAACATCCATTATAACCTCTGCTCCTGACTGCACGCTCATGTATATCAGAAGATCATTCTCATTTGTTTTTTTTACTTTAATCTCTCTTTTGATTTTTGGACTGGTTGTAATCACTTACGAGTTATTTTAGCTTGTTTCTGCTGGCAACCTGGGTTCATAATAACACAAGTTCAAGTATCTGGTACTATTTGTGCTATTGTCTGCTGCACTGTGACGCTGCAAGGCTGTGAGGCTGAGACGCGGCGATGCTGTGAGTCTGAGACACTGCAACGCTGTGAGGCTGCAGGGCTGTGAGGCTGCCAAGCTGAGAGTTTTTGAGACTGTGACACTGTGCAGTTGCAATGCTGTGAGGCTCAAAGGCTGCAACACTGTGAGGCTGAGAGGCTGTGAGGCTTTGAGGATGCGAGTCTGAGAAGCTGTGAAGCTGAGGAGCTGTGAGCCTGACACACAGTGAGGATGTGACACTAAGGCTGTGATAAATAAGTTAACTGATTCATTTAACATAAAGTCCTTTTTTTCTTGTTTTTGCTGTGAAAGTTTAAGAAAAGTGAAAGCAACATGGATGATAACAGGCTTGCCTGCTAAGCAGTGATTTGCCACATCTGTGTACAATTTAAAATCAAGCTTTCAATAAATAATGAATCATGGTTCAGAACCTACAGAAAATGCACATCAAAATATTGCAGTACTTGTTTTTTGAGAAAATCTATATTTTTAATATATCTATATTTTTTCTTATATTTTCTCTTCTGCAAAACAGACGTATTCTGCTGGCTGTTAGAGTCTGACTTCGCATTCGTTTTGGAATGCCTGTTTTTCACGCTTCAATCAAAACCTGAAGAACAAATTATTTCCCTGTTATATTATCCTGTTTCACCTTAAGGTAGAAAAATGTGTTCTGATTCTGACTCATATTCACAAAAAAATTGTCACAACAGGTTAATTTATTCTTCTGTGATGGAATATATACGTATCTGTCATGTTTCAAAATGATTTTTGTAAAAAGTAAGTTTCATGTAGACCTTTTTCTGAATAAGAACAGTTATGTTTATTATTTTAAAATTACTGTTTTAAGATGTACTGTGAGTCCTTTATTGTTTAATATTTTTGAATGAGAGGTACTTGCATGCAATATAAATAAACAGTAAAACAATGAACAGTAAAAAAAAATACAAACTTATAATTTATAATACTCCAGAAAGGATGTTTGCTTTACAAAGAATAATATGTTCTATTTCATGTTGTTATGAATATATTGTGTTCAGAATTGTGTTTCAGGCTATCTATAGGATATGGCTAACTAGGCTAGCCATACTAGTAATAGAAGTAAAGTGCTTATTTATGTAACATAAGTTCAGTGTATTAATGTAAGGATTTGGAGCAGCAGCATTCTGTAAACTGGTGTTCTGAAATAGAAAGCTGGTTTCAGTGACTGATGTATTCTGTAGAAGCAAGAAAAGCGGAAATAACATTTTTAATATCCTCCAGAACATAATGACCAACCATGACATTCAACTTTATTCCCTTTTATAGTGATTAAAAATGACCGTCTATTAACATTCTCACAGCAGCAATAACTCATAACCGCAGCACTCAGTGTTCTAATAATAGTATTAATAACAGATTGTTTAAATAGGAGACAAGAATTAACACAGTACAGACAGCCTGTATGATCACTGGATTAATAATCATAATCATAATGATAATGTGCAGAAGAACAATATTCATTGGTATAAAGTTAAAGCAGTGATTTTACTTTTATCTGGTCTGAAGGATATTTTGTATTGTAATGATTTGCTATTTTCTTTAATGTATTTTTTATCTGAATTGTAAGGTCGGAAAGATGTTGTATTCTGTAATGATCTGTTTTAATATGAATTATTTTAGTTTTGATTTGATATTAAGTTTAATGAATGTATAAACATATGTGTTTGTTCTTCAGGGTGGATCATGGAGGGAAGATCAGGATGAAACCAGGATTGAAGAAATGTAACACACACACACACACACACACACACACAATATACACACACATATATACACAGCACAAACAACATACATACACATACTGTGGGGCGATAGTGAGCAACTGGACTCCTTGAACAGAGACAGCAAATACATGGCATGGATGGAGGGCTAGAAAAATCAGTCTTGGATCTGGGACAGGGTATTGGCAGAGGTTATGTGGCTGCCTAAGGAATGTTGGTAACTAAGTTGGTAACTAAGTACACTATAATGAAGGACTTCCTGCCATGCCTTGACAAATTCCCTTCAATCTGGGCCTGTCAAAATAGTAGGTTAACTTGCTTGTTTAGCTCACCTACTGATCCCTTATCTGTGCTCTTTCATCCCCGTCTTGTACTGCAAATGCTAGTCATGGGTGGAGTGACATTTTTGAGTGCTGGCCTTCCAAAGTTTGGTGACGAAACCTGGGAAGTCCTGGCTGATGAGGTGGGACACCGGCTGGTCTGGTACTAGGGCAGTGATTGTTAGCCACACTTGTTGTTCATCACAATCAGGAACTAGGCTGAGGGAAAGAGGCATATATCACCATGTACAAACAAAACTGGAATTTTCTCTTTAGAGGAAGTAAACCATAGGGATGAGGAGAGCTGCACTAAGGTGATGATACTACCCAAATCCAGAGCCCACACTTTTCATCCCAGGTATGGACCTCAGCTATGTTATTCATTTTGAGGGCTGCCCAGGCCACTGTAGTGTCATGAGGTGAAGGGGTCTGCCTTTGGGAGGGCCCTCTCTCTACCTTCTTCCTTGGGAAGGGGAAATCTCTTTGCAAGAGGAGGGCCCTCAGGAATCTAACTTTTGCCACTTGCTCAACAATTTCTTCTGAGCTGAGTGCCTCAGATTGTCGTTCTTGTGTTCCTTTGTGTGTGAGGAAAAATAGACAAGCTTCACTTTTAGCAGTACACTTGTATGTATATAGTTGGCCCTTAATGTCATTGTCTGGGGTTAGTTTGGTGGTTTGCGGTCTTCTTGGGGTCTGGAAGTCGGGGTGCCATGTTGCTCTTTGCAAAACCATGAGGACCTCAGTGACGTGTTTGAGACTGATTGCAATTTCTTGTGTTACTTCCTGCTGTATGAACTCATCCATGGTGGAGGCCTGTGCAGAAAGATGCCAGGATAAACACCAGAATTGCCTATCAACCAATTACCTGCTTGAGAGAGATAGAGACAGAGTGTGAAAAGGAAAAGATAACTATTAAGCAAGCTGGCTGTGTGGAGTTCAGCAACTCACTCACTGTGTGATGGATGCTGTTAATATGGCAGCCACTGGCAGTCAGGTGAGACCCAGCAGCTGAGACTGATCACCAGTGGCCAGCCGTGTGAAGCTCAGGGTCCCACCCTGTAGCCACGCGGTGGTGCTGCACAACATGGGTGCTGAAACCCTGCCAGCAGGTTGGGTTACTAACTACTAAGAGCTATTACTACTGACACACACATATATACACGCATACATACATTCACCCGCACATAGATACACAATATGGACAAAAATATTGGTATACCTATACATTACACCAGGAGCTTTTATGATATCTAAATCCATAAGCATTAATATGGAATGGATCTCCCCTTTGCAGCTACAACAGCTTCCATTTTTCTGGGAAGGCTTTCTACAACATTTTGGAGTGTGTCTGTGGGAATTTTTGCACATTTCTCAAGAAGAGCATTTGTGAGGTCAGACACTGATGTTGGATGAGAGGGCCTGGCTCACAATCTCCATTCCAATTCATCCCAAAAGTTTTCCATGACCCAACCATGTCTTTATGGACCTTGCCTTGTGCACTGGGGCACAGTCATGCTGGAACAGAATAGGGTCTTCCCCAAACTGTTCCCACAACTTTCCAAGCATACAATTGTCCAAAATGTTTTGGGATGCTGAAGAATTAAAATTTCTGTTCACTGGAACTAAGGGGCCAAGGCCAGCCACTGAAAAACAACCCAATAGCACTACCCCTCCTCCACCAAACTTTACACTTGGCACAATGCAGTCAGGCAGGCAATGTTCTTCTAGCATTTGCCAAATCGAGACTCGTCCATCAGACTGCCAGATAGAGAAGCGCGATTTGTCACTCCACAGCATATGTTTCCACTGCTCCAGAGTCCAGTGGTGGCGTGCTTTACACAACCCCATCCGACGCTTGGCATTGTGCTTGGTGATGTAAGGCTTGCACGCAGCTGCTTGGCCATGGAAACCCATGCCATTAAGCTCCTTTGTGCTGATGTTAATGCCAGAGGAGGTTAGGAACTCTGCAGTTATTGAGCCAGCAGAGCATTGGTGACTTTTATGCACTATGTGCCTCAGCACTCAGTGACCCACTCTGTAACTTTACGTGGTCTGCCACTGGCTGAGTTGCTGTGGTTCCTAAACACTTCCAATTTTCAATAATATCACTCACAGTTGATCGTGGAATATCTAGGAGGGAAGACATTTCGCAAACTGACTTGTTGCAATGGTGGCATCCTATTACAGTACCATGCTCGGATACAGTGAACTCTTTAGAATGACCCTTTCGTTTACAAATGTTTATAGACTACATGGGTAGGTGCTTGATTTTATACACCTGTGGCAATGAGACTGCATGAAACACCTGAATTCAATGAATAAGAGGTGTGTCCCAATACTTTTGTCCATATAGTGTACATCGTGCATACACACACAAACATGCACAAACACACACACACTCATCATATACACATACTTTGTTTATTATATACTCCTCTAATCTGTGTGTGTGTGTGTGTGTGTGTGTGTGTGTATACAGATGTGTATGATCTTACTCTGGATCCAAACACAGTGAACAGATTTCTCTCTCAGTCTGAGAGGAACAGAAAGGTGGAGAGTGTGAGAGAAGATCAACATCATCCAGATCATCCAGACAGATTTGATATATATGGTCAGGTTCTGAGTGTGGAAAGTCTGACTGGACGCTGTTACTGGGAGGTTCAGTGGAGTGGAGATGGAGCTGCTATAGCAGTATCATACAAATTAATTAGGAGGAAAGGAGGCAATAAAGACTGTGTGTTTGGAAATAATAATCACTCCTGGAGTCTGAACTGCTATAATAACAGATACTCTGTCAGACACAATAATCAGGAAACTGTCCTACCTGACCCCCCAACACCCTCTAACACACTAGGAGTGTATCTAGACTGGGGGTCCTACACAGTCTCACCTAACACACACACATTGACCCACCTATACACACTCTACACCACATTCACTAAACCGCTCTATGCTGGGCTCTGTGTGAATTATAACTCCTCAGTGCATCTGTGTGAGAAAGAATAACCTCTACACTGTAAAAAAATAATCTTGCCCTTTAGTTATCTGAACTTAAATACAAATCACTGACTTTATTGGGATAACATAATATTTCATGTATGCATATTCTAAACTAATAAAAACTTTAACTCAAAACATTTAACTCCCTAGTTTATTATGTCAGCACGTAGAATGTATGTCTACCGGCTGGTTTGATTTTCAGGTAAATTTCTTAATTTCTTCACACTTTTCTCTTTAAGGCTTTAGAACATTAAGTTCTGCTAAGGCTACCACTGGTTTCTGTTATTCAATGTAACTTCTTTTGGGCTGCATAACCTTTAACAAGGCCTCAGATGTGTTTGACAAACATGTTTAGCTAATATTTAGTCTACTGTTAGTCCAATTAAAAAAATAAATCACATTAAAAGTGCTTACCAACTTCATGTTAATTTTTATTTCAAAAATATGTGTTCAGAATAGCAGGCTGGTCCCTGTCAGGCCATTTATGTTTGTTTTAACTTGGTCTAATAATACTTGGTAAATGTAACTGGACTATCTCACTGTTACTGTAGACTGTTTTTTGTGGGGAAAAGTATGTAGAGTTGAGTCAGGGTTGACTCCAGTAACCTCTGAGTCATGCATCACTTAATAGAGGCTTGAATGAAAATTGGAGTTGCATTTTTGCCAGGCGTTGATTTGTGTTCAGTGAAAGCGCGTTACAAATCAGTAATTTTTCGTTACTCCCCACTGCACATTTGCAAGGCTATATTGTTTCATTCAATGTAGAGTTACTGCCAAATTAGGAAGCACTGTCAACCATTTTAAAGTATACTGACATATTCCTCTAGGGGGAAGTCCTAGCTAGCTAAAGCATGTTTGGGCTGTTTGAAATACAAACTCTTCACAAATCATTTACAAAATTAACAATATAAACATTATAAATAGAAAAGCAAAAAATCTTTAAAGCAAAGCAAAGTTTATTTATGTAGTGCTTTTTACAACAGGTGTTGTCACAAAGCAGCTTTGCAGAAAAATCCAGGTCCAAGCCCCCATGAGCATCACCAATGACTACAGTGGCAAGGAACTCCCTAAGAGCAAGAGGAAGAAACTTTGAAAGGAACCAAGACTCAGAAGGGGAACGCATCCTCCTCTGGTCAACACCGGATAGTAAACAGTGTTAGTATAAAGTACTATAGTACAAAACGGGAAAAACAGGTGGAGCAATGGTTAATTAGATTAGTTTTAGTTTATGCAGCAGCAGCATCATCCTGAGGGTCAGTTCATGAGGGTGAGGTTTGCACAGCGTTGTACAGCATGAAGCTCAATGGTGGTCAAGCCGGTCCAGAAGGCTGGCGAGCAGTGGGCACCCGATCAACGCAGAAGAAGCAACAGCATCAGACGCACAGGATGGGCAGCTGTTCAACTCGGCAAAGAAAGGAAAAGACACAGAGAGTCAGTACTGTAATGAGTGACTGATCACAGATTACAGGGTTTACAGAGCAGCAGAGACTCCAGCAGGTCTAGTTATTACAGCCCTTTACTAAAAGGGAGAAACCAGACATGAGGGCTCCCTGAGATGTCAGCGCCCCTCCGCTCCACTGTCAGCAAACCTGAGTAAACGTGTGAGAGCAGCGGGACGACAACCACACTCCCAGTTTACCATAATACTCTGTGTCCAGGAACCCCCAGATCTGCACCTTTTATCTAACAGGGAAAACTAATTACCAAAGGCTTGACGAAACAAGTACGTTTTTAGCCTAGACTTAAAGACTGAGGCTGTGTCTGAGTCCCGAACACTGACTGGAAGATTATTCCAAAGCTGGGGGGCTTTGTATGAGAAGGCTCTCCCCCCTGATGCAACTTTATTAATTCTAGGTACTAATAGTGAGACAGCACCTTGTGATCTAAGTAGGCGTGATGGTTCATAGTGGGAGAGAAGTTCACTCAGGTACTGAGGAGCAAGTCCGTTTACGGCTTTGTAAGTCAGTAAGAGAATTTTATAATCAATGCAAAATTTAACTGGTAACCAGTGTAAGGTTGATAGAACCGGGCTGATATGGTCAAACTTTCTGGTTCTTGTAAGGACTCTGGTAAGGATTCTGGTGCTTGTTAAGGCTTTTGCTGGGACATCCAGCCAGCAGGGCATTACAGTAGTCTAGCCTTGAATTAATAAATGCATGAACTAGCTTTTCTGCATCCTGTAGAGATAATGCATTTCTCAATTTAGCAATATTGCGGAGATGCGGGAAGGCTGTTCTAGTAATATTAGTTATGTGCATTGAAGGACAGATCAGGGTCTATCATGACACCAAGGCTTTTTACAGATGAGCTTGATGCAACTGAGAAATTGTTAAATTTAAGTGTTAAATCAGACAGTTTGTTTCTAACCGCTTTTGGACCAAGAAGCAGAAACTCTGTTTTATCCGAGTTAAGTAGGAGAAAGTTACTCGACATCCAGTCTTTTATGTCTTTTAAACAGTTCTCGATCTTGCCGAGTTGAATTTTATCATCTGGTTCACTTATATATATATATATATATTACACACACACACACACACACCATACTTTATTTTGCGAGGGCAGATGATTCACTGTTTACATTAACAAACTGATAGCGATCAGTGAGGTAGGACCTGAACCAGGAAAGAGCTATTCCTGTTACCCCTACAAGGTTTTCTAGTCTATCTAGTAAGATAGCGTGGTCTATTGTGTCAAATACCACACTAAGATCACGGAGGACTAGCAAAGACACATTTCCTTGGTCAGAGAATAATAATAGATCATTTACAATTTTTACTAGTGCTGTCTCTGTACAATGATGTGGCCTAAAACCAGATTGAAATTTTTCGTGTATTTGATTCCTATACAAATAGGAGCTTAATTGTTTTGTTACAACTTTTTCCAAGATCTTAGATATAAAGGGGAGATTCGAGATGGGTCGATAATTTGATAGTTCGCAGGGATCAAGGTTAGCTTTCTTAATCAGAGGTCTAATTACTGCTAGTTTAAGAGTTTTGGAATGTAGCCAAGGGTAAGAGAGGAGTTTATTATTGACAGAATAGGCTTGGTTATTTCTGGCAAAATTTCTTTGAGTAAACCTGTAGGAATTGGATCTAAGTAGTTGATTTTGCGGAAGAAACAATATTAACTAGGTCATTTAATTATGCATTCTGAATTTTCTGCCTAATTTTTTCAATTTTATCACTAAAGAAATTCATAAAATCATTGCTGCTATAGGCTAATGGCATCTGGGATTCACTAACTGTTTGGTTCTTCGTTAATTTAGAAATTGTGCTAAATAATAATCTAGGATTATTCCTATTGTTTTCAATGAGAGAGGAGAGGTAGGATGAGTGTGCTGCTACAACTAGTTGTCTGACAGTCTGTTTTAAAGCTCGAGTATGACCATTATACCATGGGCAGCTTTTTCTGCCTTACTAATTTACTTTTTAATGGAGCCACATTATCTAGAGTAGATCGAAAAGTATCCTCTAAGAACTTGGTCATAATATCTAATTCGGTAGGATTAGATGGACAGCCGAGAGAAGCTGATAATTGTGGGAGATTTCTGGTAAAGCTACCAGCTGTGGAGGAAGTTATAGTCTGCTTAATACAATAACATGGTGATGAACACACATAACCACTAAAGCTGGGGTTGGGTTTATGTGTGTGTTTGTGTGAGAGAGAAGGAAGGGGGTTGGGGGGGTGTGAGAGACAGAGCACCTGATGGTTCAAAAAAGTATTAAACACATTGATCATACCTTTCATATGTAAACTTTAAGCTTTCTAAACATTAATCTAACCCTCTGGACAACATGTCCCTGCATGACAAATGTAAACCTCCCCATATACGTGTGTGTATTTATTCATTTATTTAAAACATAGTTAGTTAAAATCTGTTTTGACCAAGTCATTTAAGCTACCTAAACCTGCACTCTTCTCTAACAGGCTGTGTTGGTAGATGGGCTGACACTGTCAACACTGGCAGAAACACTACAAAGGAGCAAAATAACATCCAGCCAAGAGAATGTATCAAATACTTGTTGACATAATGACACAGTGAATAAACATACACACTGTATATATAATACACACCCTATTCCCAAAAAACTGGGACAGTATGTGAAATGCTAATAAAAACAGAAAGCAGTAATTAGTAAATTCTGTTGATCGTGTATTAAATCGAAACAGTACACAAACACAATTTTTGATGTTTTACCTTATGATCTTCATTGTATTTTGACAGGGCCATGTTTACCACTGTGTTACATCACCTTTCCTTTTAATATCACTTAATAATTGACTGAGGTATATGGTCTGACATTCGAACACCACAAAAGAGCAAGAACAAAAAAAAAGCCATAAAGAATGTCTTAAATTGTCTGCTTGTTGGCAAAAAGAATGAATACATACAAACTGAATATATGATCATTTAAAAAAGAAACAGGTGGGGTTCAAAATAATAGAAACACCAGTAACACTTTTTGTTAAATGCTAAGAAAAAAAACCCACAACCACTGAATTACTACTGTTTCACCTAGTGACACAAATAATGCTATTTATAGTGCACTGGGTCTGATTTCCACACAAAGTGTAAAGAATCACTAACTTAGATTCTTCTAAACTCCTGACTCAGTCCCTGAAACATTTTTCAACTGCTCAATTACTGATATAAAACACAGAGAACTTTGCTTATAAAAAATAAAAGAATGTAGAATAAAGAAAATAACAAGCATGTTTTTTTAAATAATAAAATAAAATAGAATTGATTAATTTTATGCTATTAAGCAATTTACTGAGTGAATCTAAAGAGACTGGCTAAAGTGAAAAGGTAAAAATACAGAAAAGTACAAGACAAGAGGTAGTAGAGTGAAAGATTACAAAAACTCATTGAAAAATAATTTCAACATTACAATCACACAAAGAGAATAGATTGAAGAGGAGAGTTAGAAAAAACAAGTCAACAGATAAATTTAAAAGAATAAAACCAGACTATAAAACACCTGCAAGCCCTTCTCTCTACCCTAACAACACCCCCAACATGATTAGACTTCAGTGTGAATTATATGTTAATCAAATTGATCAGGTACATTGTTTCTTCTTTCTTACTGTAAAATGAAAATGACCAATATCTATATAATGATTCTTTT